CAGAAAAAACCTCTCAAGGCCAGTTTCCGAAACGCACTCAGGTTTTGTGTCCCCCTCCCACCTTGACAAGTCACTCTCCCCCTATCCAGTGTTGGGATTTGCCCCCCATCCCACCCCGACCAACCACAACTCCTCGGAGGGAACTGTCAATAACGCAGAGATGGCAGAAAAGACACCCCGATTCGGGCATCCGACTCATCGCAGCACGAAAGCGGTAGCAAAAATAAATCCAAAGGCGAATCGATTCCGGTGCTTACCGGGGTTTCCACTCTTCGAAGGAAATCCAGCGTCCGGACGGCGGCGAGGAGCGCCCTTCAGAGGCAGTGGGTCGTGGGCAGTAGCGGGGAAAAGTGTCTCCCCAAACGGGCGGGCTCGCCTCCCGGCTCCAGGCGTCTGCGTCCTCGCCCGGGTATTGTAAGTTCCAGTGTCAAGTGCCCGCCCGCGGCAAGAGGCAAAGTTTCGCTGCTGCAGCAGCAGCAGGGGTGCGCACCGCGGGTGGAGGGCGGCGGGCAGGGTGGAGTGGGGGCGGCGGGGCCGGAGGCGAAGCCCCCTTTCACTCCGGATCTCCCCGCCCAAGGCGCTCGGAGCGCGGCTCTGCCGCCTTTGGTTGCTCGGTTGTGGCACCCTCGCGGCCCGCCCGCTCGCTCCCTCTGCCTCTCGCTGGAATTACTACAGCGACAGTCGCAGAAAGCCCAGGAAACCTTCTTTTATACCTCCCGGAGATCCCTCCCTCCGCTCTTTTCCCGCCAAGCCGCTGACAAGGCCCTGCCCTGCTCGAGGCTGGGAGGGGAGTCAGTTGGCTGCCGGGGCGCGGCTCCCGCCGTGGCCGCGAGCAGCGCAGCTCTGGGGTCCTCGGGCCCACCGCCCCTCACCTTATAAAGGGCCAGGGGTGGGGTCGGGCTGGGCGGGGACTCTCGGGGGCGGCTCTTTTGCTGTCTTTCTCTCCCGCCCTTTGCTTTCAGACCCCGGGAGGGGCGCTCCGGGGAGGGAGGGCCGGAGGAGGAGACTCGCAGGCTCGCCCTCCAGTGCGCGGGGCTCTCGGATGTCAACAGAGGAAGAGCCGGAGGAATTAATCGCGCCTACCATTTTCTGCTGCTCCCTCTCCAGCCTTCTCTCACTGGGTGCTGTCCCTGTGGCGCTGTCCTCTGTTTGACAAACCGCATACTTGTCCTACGTGCTTAAACCATCGCGGGCGGAACAGCTGAGCCCTGGAACACTGCGAATCCACCGCGCACCCACCGCCAAGCCACGCACCTCCCTGGCGCGCGGGCGGGCGCCTCCCTAAGGCCGGGGAATGGGCAGTGTTTTGAAAACGAGTGCAATGAAGAAGGGATGCACGAAGACACTTTCATGTGCGCGCGCTTCGTTTGTGTGTGGATGTAGATGGGGATAAAGAATAAGGAGGAAAATGTCTGGTATGATGAAAATAACGCGGCAACGGATTGCCACGTATACTCCAGCACTTGGAGAGCGCGTTTTGACTACACACCCTGCGCAGTGGTTGCGTGGAATGCATTCTGTGTGAACAGCTATCTCAACTGGGCACCTTCTCCCTGGAATGAATGCTCCAATTTGCTGCCAAAGCTGTAGCCCACCCCCGCCCCGCCCACGCGGACTCGCACAGACACCCACGCGGGAGGCTGCTGCTCCGCCAGGACCCCCGACTCCCTGAAATCTTCCTGCGTGTTTCCGACCTGGATTTGGGGAGGAGCTCAGCTGTGGGTCCGCGCCACCGGCCGGTCTTCACCCGCACCGCACCCCTGCGCCTCCCACACGGAGTTCCCAATTCCGCAGAGCCGGTTTCAGGAAGAGACAAATCCTCTTTGCGCCCCATGCCGCCGATTTGCACCAGGCTTGGGCTCCGTTTGGGAAATCAAAGGCGCTAGACGGGAGAATTTTTTTTTTTTTTTGGTGGGGGGGGGCTCTGGACTGGACTCCCCGGAAGAGGGGAGGAGGCGAGGTTACGGATGGCGCCGGAAGAGTAGGCAGAGACCCTGGAGAAGAAAACCGTTAACTCTTTCCTCCCAGGACAAGCGGCACGTTCGATTCTTTTCTGTATCCTCCTCCCTCCTTTATTATTGGAATCGTGAACATACACAAAATTGTATCGATTCTGACCAAAGGAGAGGAGCCAAGTATTACGTCCGTGGTCTTTTCCTTGGCGTGGTGGTGGTCTTGAGCTAATTAAAGACTGGCAGCATCTCAGGCATTGATTTCCTACTTCACGGCCTCTGACTTTCTTTTCTGAATACCACAGTGAGAATGCATTATATGTAATACGCAGCTGTGTATAAATAGACCCAGTCAGTTGTCCAGCCTATCCCCTCGGGATCTGCCATTTTGCATTACACTGTTGTTGTTGTTATGTGCCGTCGAGTTAGCCCCGACTCATAGCCACCCCTCCTTGGGTTTCCGAGGCGGTATCACTACAGAAGTAGATTACCCAACCTTCCTTCTGAGAAGTGGCTGGTGGGTTTGAACCTCCAGTCCTCTGGTGAGCAGTCAAGTGCCTTAGGCATTAAGCTACCAGAGCTTCTCTGCATTATACTAGTAGCTCTGGTAGCATAGTGTCTAAGGCACTTGACTGCTCACCAGAAGACTGGCGGTTCAAACCCACCAGCCACTCCTCGGAAGGAAGGTTGGGCAATCTACTTCCATAGTGATACCGCCTCGGAAACCCAAGGAGGGGTCGCTATGAGTCGGGGCCGACTCAACGGCACATAACAACAACAGGACATCAAAAACAAAGACTATCAATCTTCCCATTTCTGTTCCTTTGCCCAAAGGCATTTTAAGTAAACTTTTTCTTCCCACCCGAAAAAAGAAGGAAAAAAAAAATCCGGGAAGGGTGAGGCGTGTATAGCATGCGTGTGTTCAAGATAAGTTATTACCCATTGAGTCGGCAGTTCAGCGCTCAATTGTTAAATGAGTAGTAACTTCCCCCAAATCAGGCGCCAGGCCCTTCTCAACTTTAAGGATTGCAAATGACTCCAGCCTTCAGGTCTGGCTGAAAGCGCGGGAATAGACCAATCCCTGGGCTTGGTTTTGCCGCAAAGCGTCCTTCCCCCGCCTCTACCCCCGCCCCCTCTCCGGGCTGCACGCCCACTCGGGTTTGGAAAGTAAAGTAAGTGTGCCCTCTACTGGCAGCCGCGATCACCACATCCGGATGCCAACCGAGGGCGGGGGTCAGGCGGGGGCTGGGGCACCCAGGCGGGCAAAGGAAGAGGCGGCTTCTGCAACCGAGTTTCCAGCCACTTTTGTAGAGATTACTTCACGCCGAGGGCACAGGGCGGGGAAAGATGAATTACTGGAGGAAAAGGTGGTTCAGAGGCCGCTGCTCAGCCGTATAAGCGGGGTGAAAATGAATGCATCTCCACTTGTTGACAGTGAACAGCACCCTCAGGAGAAGCGACGGTATTATATGGGAAACGTGACATAATTAGCAACTACACACATTGAATAATTTCAAACAAAACCCTGAAACAGCAAAACACGCTTTAAACCACACATCTTAGAAACGCATCCTCTTCTAACCACCAAGTTTAAAATCGAGACGCTAGATTTGGGGGCGGGGAGGGGATGGGGAGGCACCGTGGAAGTTGAGGGATGCTTGGTTTATTATTATTTTTTAATTGAAAATAAATCGGGCTGGTGAACAGTAGCCAGATGTTTTGATAGTGGGGAGGGGATCTTGAGATTCCATTGAAAAAACTATATTAGAAAAGTTTTAATAAGAAAATAAGTGTGCAACAAAAGTCAGAGTAGGTGTGAAAGGCTTTCCCCTAGCAGACTTTCCGTTGTGAATGTTGCAGGTGTTTATTATGGGAAATGCCTGATAGTGCTTCAGCACCTAGATCTGCCCCCAGGAAGTGTGGGAGAGAAGACCCTTCCTGGAAGGGGCCCCTGGGTGGTTTATCAGGACCTGGGCATTGCCCTACTGGAGGTTAAGTCACCAGTTAGCCACATGGGGAGAAAGGGCAGTGGTAGTTCATTTACATGCTGAAGACCCAGGTTCAATTCCGGGCCAATGAACCTCATGTACTGGCAGCACCGTCTGTCTGTGGAGGCTTGCCTGCTGTTGTGATGCCTAACAGGCTTTAGGAAGAAAGGCCTGGCAAATAGCTTCCAAACAATCTGCCACTGAAGACGCCGTGGGTCACCATAGTCTGAGCTGAGAGTGAGCATGGGGCAGGACCAGGCAGCGCTCCATTGTGCATGAAGCTGCCATAAGTTGAGTGGACTCATGGTAGCTAGCAACACCGCATCTGGGAAGCGGCAATGAAAATAGATGTACTTGACCTTGACGACTCAATGTTGAAAGCTGCTGAAGATGGCAGATTGGCCATCTTTCACGGTTTGCGTCCTAGGTTAGCCCCGCCCAGTGTGTTGTGTTGTTGCCGTAGGGTTGTTGGTTGTCGTGGAGTCCATTCTGACTCACGGCCACCCCATGTGTGCAGAGTGGTCCCTAGGGTTTTCAAGGCTGTGACTTTTCAGAGGCAGACCACCAGGCTTGTCTTACGGAGGTGCTTCTGGGTGGGGCTAACCCTCCAGCCGTTTGCGCCACCCACTGACGCCTTGGTATTGCCTGTGGGTTCAGGACTCACTGTCACTCGGCCCTGGCTGGTGACAGCACCTGCAGTGTTACTTTCAGGTCACCACTTGGAGTTGTTTAGTGCCCCTGACAGTCCTGTTTTGTGGGGGCCATGCCCATTTCACAGAAGAGGGCACTGAACATCAGGTCGCTGTGAGCTGAAGGGACTTTATTATCTCTTAGTAACTTGTAAGGAACATTGGACCTGGAATGGACATTTAATGAGAAATGGCAAAAGAGATTGAAACTAATAACAACATTGCTATTACGAAAGCGACACATGTTCACTGTAAAAAAAAAAAAAAATTCAAAGAAATTCTAACACCAATCACCTCGAGGTAGCTGTTGGAGGTTACCTTGTTCAGAAGACTTTTTACGGGACACCGAGCTCTTTTACTCTAAATCATCCCTTTGGAAGATAGTGGAAGATGTCTTTTTTTTTTTTTTAATCAATATTTTATTGTGTTTGACATGAAAATTTACACAGCAAATTGGTTCCCACTCAGCAATTTCTACCTAAATTACTCAGTGGTATTGGTTACATCTTCCACAGTGTGTCATCCTTCTGGGTGTACTATTTCCAGGGCTCTAGTCTCTCTGTCCCCTCACCTTCTCATCTTCTCTTTAGCTTCCTTTTTGACCATTGGGTCTTCCAAAGGTGATTTTTCTTAAAGAGGAAGGTGTCTTTTAACCACCATCCTGGTTCTCCTTTGTCTGGGCACTGCCGGGAGGTGGGTCAGGTCTCCTGACTTTGAGAACCCAGCCATCATTCACAGGGTTATGACTCCAGGTGAACAATCTGTTGACATGGCTTCATGGAAGAGGTACACATTGTCACTTAGGGAATGCTTTTTCCTCCAGGATGGTACAAATGAGAATCATGAATTCTCATAACTGCATCTTCTCTCAATACTGGTCATACTGCTTTTAGACTCAGGGGGGAAAAAAAAGGCAGAAAGAATGGGCAATTTGACCAAATTTTCTCCTTTCTTTTCTGAGAGGAGAAATTTATAAGGGTGATTTTGATAAAATAACACCAGTCCCTGCCCCCCACCTTATTTGATTCTCTCTTCTTTCACCCCTCATAAAGTTTCCTGTTGAGCTGATCTCCTGCAGATAAGAGCGTTACTAATATGGGGAGAGACTGTAGCTGGGAGATGAAGAAGCTGGCTCCAGTTAGGGGTGAAAGACAAGGCCCCTCTGGATGGCAGGGCTGTAATTCCTAGCTCCCTTCCAATCATGGAGGAGCCGTCAGGGACACTTACACCAGTGGGAAGGTGGCCAGGGAAGAGAATAATAAATTCGTATCACCAGCAGAAAGACCGTTTGGGAAGAGTAACTGCTGAATGAAACCCACGCCAGGAATGCTGGAGGGAGAGACGGACTTGCAGGCATTTCATGGCAACAGGGATGTACTCTGCGTGGAGAAGCTAATGCAGAGGCTGGGACAGACAGTGTCTCCACTAGACCTCAAGGCAGCTCTTCAGCAGACAAGGAAGTCAAATTCACCACCATTAACAAGAAAGAAAACCAAAAGGGCAATGAGGAAAATCTATGTATTTAAAAAATGCGTTTTAAGAATGCTGCCCCCTTTGCTCCCAGCATATTGCATAAAATAGAGGATGCAAGAAGGAAAAAGAAATGAACAGATACATATTTTTAAATTTTTATTGTGATTTGGGTGAAAGCTTATAGAGCAAATTAGTTTTCCATACAGCAGTTCACGTACACGATGTCTCATGACTGCAATTTCCAACAATGCTGTCTTCCCACTTCCTCCCCATAGTTAACCTCTTCCCTGTGTTCAAACCTCCATGCACTCCTGCCCCCTGAGCGCTCTCCCTGTGCATACACAGCCCTTCTATCCTCCCAAGATTGATCTCTCCAAGGAATGTTATCTACCTTATGTAAATGTTTAGCTCCAATGCCTATCTTTTGTTTGGCTGGAAGTCACAGGGGTGGGTTCAATTCCAGACCTGAAGGGCAGCTAGGGCCACAGTCTCAGTGGTTCCATCAGGCTGTCTCAGACCAGCAAACCTGGTCCTTTTTTTTTTTAAATGATTTTGAGTTTTGTTCCACATTGCTCTTCCACTCTACCCAGGATCTCCTACATGGATCCCCCTCCAAGTGGTTGACAGTGGTACCATCTAGTTCCTCTGGTCTCATAGTATAGGCTGAGGATCACTCAGTGTACCAGTTGCTCGGACTAATTGTTTCCATGAATCTTTGGTTTTCTTCATTCT